TCCAGGTTTCTCTCTGTCCGAAGGCAGAGAGTTCGACAGGAGCTGCGAACAGTCACAGCCTCGGTAAAACAATCTATGTCACTGTTCCCACCGAGGCTTAATTTCCTACTACTTTATAGTAAGTGGAATAGTCCACAATAACCTCATTAGAGGGAAGACTTCACAATAGGTATTCCCGGCATCTTTCTGTAGAACCACATATACTAGGCTTTATTCTTCAGTTTTCTTAATGTAGATCTTTAGTTTCGAGGGTGTGTACGTCCAACATTCTGCCAACCTCAATCCGTAGATCAGCGTACTTTTTAAACTTTTCAATTTCTTTCGTCTTGATGTTATGATCACCAAAAACATCCACATTGATGAGGAAGCATTTTCTTGGTTCTTTTTTCTTTTTCTTTTTTTTTTTTTTAACGACGTTCATATCTGGTTTTGGTGGCCTCAATGATACGGTTTGGATTTTGAATTCCCATAACGTCTTCACTTAACAATCACACAATTCTTTTGTCTTAAATGTCTTTGGTTTGGCTCTGTTCTTCTCATTATTATTATTATTATTATTATTTACCGTCAGAAGCGGATAGTGATTATTCAAGCAAGCTGTTTTTCTTATTGATTTATTATTATTATTATTAGTAGTAGTAGTAGTATTTCTTCTTCCGCTGTTTTTTTTTTTTTTTTTTTTCCGTTTTTCTTTTTAACCGGAGTTTTTGGATTATGGGTCTTTACCGGCAAGCAGTATGACTTTAAACAGAGAGAACCTTTCGCAGAACATTTGCAGACTTTGGAATACTAGGATTTATTCTCCAATATTCTTAATGGAGATCTTTAGGTTCAGGTGTATAACGATGTCTGGGGCCATTAGCTGTGATTGTTCTGTCTCTGTGTATTGTGCCATCCCATCAAATTGTTACAGGTCCTATCTCCGTAACCGATAATGGACGGTATTATTATTATTATTATTATTATTATTATTATTATTATTGTTGTTGTTGTTGTGTGTGTCAGATTCTCCAAGTCCTCTTTCCTCATTAGGTGCTCTAGAAATTTCTATTGTCTCTTTCTGATTATAAGTATACGCGGTGATGATACGGCATCGCTAGTCGAAGAGCTTCCTAGACTAAAATCAATAGGCAAAACTGAGGGTTCCTACAATATAAATAATGGTCAAGTATCCGTGACCTGAAGATGGATGGGCTCCGCCAGGTCTACTCATGATTGAATACCTTTCCGGTTTTCAAACCAGATATATAGCGAGAACTGGTCAGTTTCTCAGTGAACCTACGATCACAGCCGGTCAAGAGGCTCCCCCCTCTTCTGTGCCGTGTCCATTCAGGATGTTGTAGATCATGTTTCCTGCCCTTTGTAGCTCTCAATAAATGTTGTCCTTTTGCCATCTCTCCTAAAGCTTGTGCCGCTATCCATTTACTCAAACCCGCTAGGCGTTGTTTTCTTCCGTAACGTCTTGCCTTCAATCTGCTCTGTGAGTATCAAATTTCCCAAGCCGTCTTTCCGCCTTATGTGCCCTAGAAATTTCAGTATATCTGGGAAGTGTTTTAAGAGAGGACGGAAAGTGTGACGCTTAAAGACGCATTGGGATAGCGAAAGATGCCTTCTAAATATTAAGCAAAGTATTAAGGAACAGAAAAAAATTCGTTATAAACAAAGGAAAGAGTACTGAACTGTTATGTAATATCAGTTGTCCGATATGGAAGTGAATGCTGGACAATCTACGCACAGATGAAGAAGAGATCTGAAGCAGCATAAATGTGGTTCTACAGAAGGATGATGAGAATAACATGAAAAGAATATGTTATCGACGAAGTTTAAGAGAAAATGGAAACAAAAAAGTAAACATGCTGATGATAACAGATTTTCCGTAAGACTTCTGAATTTGTCCGATTAAAAATGTATGATCAGAGACCTGACGAAATAATGTCAACACTAATCGAAGACAGTTTTAATCATTGCATTATTATTATTATTATTAAATGTTCATAAAATAGAAGGCTCAAGAGCCACCCAAGGTAGTGGGTTACTGAAAGATTGTTATATGGACTTAAGAGGAAGTAAGTGCAGATTATGAAGATATGTAGGATACATAAAGATTAATCTTAGACTTGAAGCGCTTAAGATTATAGTAATCGGGATTAAAGTATCTTTTCGGGAGTCTGTCTCCCAAAGTAGTGGTTATTTGAAAGAAGCTGTCTGATGGATAGTTTTTTTATCTTTCCAACGGAATACAAATGGAATGAGGATGATTCGTCCCTGTATATGTTGCATGGTGGGTCCTAACTGTAAAAGTCCGAACCGGTGGAAATAAGGAATGTAAATGGTCAGAACATTTGCCATAGAAATAGCGACAGTAGCGACACACATGGAACGTTGCGCCTGTGGAAAAAGTCTAAGAGTTGAAAATAATTTATCGCCGACGAGGCCGTGTGAAATCTTTTGAACTCTATCAAGGCTGGAAAGTAAACATTGGACAGCGCCAAACGAAATAAGGCAACAATAAACCATTTTAGAGTCTGGAGTGTGGCACAGTCTATATGGTACTATTGTTCTCAGACCAATTTTCCCCGAAGAAAAAATATACAGTTTCTTGATTCCCATATTTCTGTCTCTCTGACACTAAAAACTACGGCCCTATCACGTTAAAACACCGGTTCTCGTACGATCACCGAAGTTAAGCAACGTCGATCTTGGTCAGTACCCAGATGCTGCTAGCTTAAATGTGCGTGTGGTGCAATGAGTAACGGCTTGGTATTGAAACTCGGAGAGCCGAATTTGAATTCTAGCCGAGTTCGTCATATTTACTTACGCGTAAATAACCATGGGAAAGGTATGAATCCATCTCCTCTCCTCCAGCTATGGGTTGATAAGTAGGGCGTGCGTCAGTAATTTATTATTATTTACAAAACATTGTTACAATTTTATATTTGCTGGCTTTAAATAACCTGCAAAAGGTTGATAAACCGTAAAAAAATTAAATCAGTCAATGCTTCATTTTCATAATCGCTTGTTACCTTGTGCCAGACCAAAGTTTAGAGATGACGATTACAGCAATGGTTGAAAACTGGAGGTGGGTGAGGAAGAATTCAAATAATTCGTTATTAAATTTTAAAGTATAAATCAAATTCTATCAACAATTTTTAGAAAAATAACGAAAAATGACGGAAAATAATAAAAAACTACTGTTGATTTTTTTTTGAAATTATATGAAAGTCTAAAATATTTAATCCGTTTTACATAGATTGCTGGCATTTTTTTGGGCGAACATTAAAAAAATAAGTTCAATAATTCACAAAGTTAACATTTTTTTCTTTTAACCATAATTTTTATTTTATTTATCATTTGTTCATATACGTAAGTAGGTCACATTTTTCAAATAGTCTTATTTAGTTTTTTTTTGTTTTGTTTTTTCCTAATGATTCTGTTTCGCTCGTTATAGAAGTTGAAAACAAACTTTGCAAAAATAAAGAGTAAATTTGAACTGCAAGTTACACTCACTGCTGAAACTTTATTGTGTTAATATTTAAAAATGCAGGCCGAATTTCCAAAGAGATAATCAAAAGGGTGGACAGCAGTTTTGACAACGACTAGCGAATAACAAATAAAGAAAAGTAAACACGGAATTAATGCAGCATTATTATAGTCATTCTAGTCATTATATAGTCATTAGATTGTCACTATAGTCATTATAATCATCATGTAGTCATTCTATAGTCATTATCGTCATTCTATAGTCATTATCGTCATTCTATAGTCATTATATAATCATTATAGTCATTATCGTCATTATATAGTTATTATCGTCATTATATAGTCATTATCCTCATTATATAGTCATTATATAATCACTATAGTCGTTATAATCAATATAGCCATTCTATTGTCATTATAGTCATCTATAGCCATTATATAGTAATTATAGTCATTCTATAATCATTATAGTAATTATAGTCATTCTATATTTATTATTATAGACATTCATTATGCACTAATATGGTTACAAATAAATGAATTCCTGATTTTTATTACCTGATTGACATGAGCTTATAAAAGTTTTGTGGAAAACTAAAATTATGCCAACTATCAGAAAGAAAATCGTTATATTATAACAATTGTTATATAATAGGAAATATTTGGTGTTTTGCGGCCAAGTATGATGAGGTGTTTTGTTCGGTAGCAAACACCATTCACGTCGTTTAAAGCCAGAACGAAGAAAATTACCGAAAACTTAACAATAAGAAGAATTTATTTCCAGCTTGCACGTCACTACAAAAGGTATGTCCCCAGAGTAAAACGGAAAATCAATGAAAGTTTCGTGTAAAATGTATATAAAATAAATACCGGGGTTTCGTTTGGGTACACTTATTTTTTATTTATTTAGTCATTCTTTTATTTGTTATTTTTTTCTTCTTACTTTTTTTTCGTCTGAGAGTGTATATAAAAACGGAAATATAGATACGTCTCCCTCTCCATATATATATATATATATATATATATATATATATATATAAAGAGAGAGAGAGAGAGAGAGAGAGAGAGAGAGAATGAGAGAGAGAGATATGATAATTATCATTTTAAACGGTATTTTTAGTGGTTGCTCATATTTGAGTAGACGCTCCGTTTATTTTAAGCAGTATTTTATTTCGTCTGCCGGCCTAAATATTCAAGAAATTTTATTAAATAAAAATGCACCCGCTGGTAAAAAATTAAATGCGATATCACTAGTTATCTTCTTTCTTCTTAATTTCTGTTCTTTTGTTGTTCTCTCCCCTTAATAATGTTTTTTTTCCTTTATTCTTCCACCCTCCTCTTGCGTCTTAGGGGCTTTATTTACTTGCTTGAGGTGAAATGATTTAAAAAACGCATGTAGTAAAAGAAAATCCATTTTTTTTTTTTTCCTTAACTCACCGATATTAACATAAGATCGAATGACAATTGCAGAAACATTGCTTTATTTTTACAACGTTCTACTGATCGGAATAAATACGATTATGAGGATGATGGTGAAAACAGATAAAAACATTATCGTCTGTGCTGATGATGATGATGAACATCATCCTTTAGCTGTGCGGAATAATGTCGGTGATGACATTACTGATGTTGTTAAAACTAAAATGGTGGATAGAGAGGATAAGAAGGCTTGCCCTACAACGTTTCTTAATCATTTAAAGCAAGATGCCAGAAGAGAATTCCACAAGTAATGAGTGCGAAAGAAGAAACTGTTAGCATAGAACTTGCGGTTACATCTAGCGAATTTCAACTGTAAAGTAATGAGACTTAGCAGCTATTTCACAACTGATTATGAGGAAGACGAGATAATAAATTAAGCTTAGTTTAGCTTCTTAGTGCATATTAGGTGTGTGCAAAAGTTCCCGGTGTCCATTTTATTTTAAAATAAAACCTAATTTTTCAATATACCTCGTGATGAGGCAATTAAGAAATTTACTGAAAAAACTAATGAAATATAAAGAATCACTTGACATCGAGGCTGAACTTTTGAAATAGTTTACTTTCTTCCCGAATTCAATAACAAGTTTCTCTATTTTATAACAGACGCCTGGAATCAGAAACGCATTCCCAAAAGTGGTGTTTATCACGCATTAATGAACTACGAAAACAGAGAGGTAATCCTCACGACCCTCACACACGAAGAAGTATCTTAATTGGATCCATCATGGTGAATGTGTCAATGAACATTATATTAACTAAGTTCTCATTTTATTAAAGTCAACTCCTCACGATCCAGTTTGGTTTTCATTCAGGTAAGAAACATAAGGATTTAATGTGGAGTATCCGAGCCCGTAGGCTCGGCCAAAAATTCCCTGTAGACCCCGCATAAAACGGGGTCGGGTAGCTGTTTCCCGAGATGAGACTCTGCTCTTTGACATAGCCTCGTCTGGGGATCCTCTCTGCCCAGAGGCAGAGAGTTTGGCCAGCACAGCTGGAGATGAATCTCCATTTGCAGACCAACATACAGTATTTACTACTGTATTTATGTGAATGGGGACATACCTATTATCGCGCGTAGGTATGCTACAATAGTATTCATATTTGGGATAAGAATAATCTTGAACAGAATATCAACATCCTTTGTAAATCTTTCCAAAACAGAAACCGAGATGTGGAATTGGAATGAAAACAGTGATGCTAAATAGACAGAATCCATCATAAAAGTTCAGGACATGGAATTAGTAAATATTAAACACTTCAAATAGATCAGCGTATAGATCAGTTATAACAAATTTCGTATTAGAGAAAGGGAAATTGAACATAAATTAGGCTGCGCTAGACATAGTTTCGCTCTACACTGCAAACTGCTACAAAGCCAAAACATTAACCTAAAAACTCATATCATGTTCTTAAATAGCCTCAAGACATTCATATGGATGTCATTCATGGCACTAGACTTGTTCAGAAATATCTAAACAGTCAGCTGTGTACAACCACTTTCTAAAATCAATTGTTAAAAAAAAGCTTTGAGCGTGTAAAACCTGGAGTTCTTGGTGAAGACCATCACAAACAAAGAACTGCATCAAATAACAAACTCCACATCACTTGGGAACTTTCAACAGCAGCAACAGTTAAAATGGATAGCACTGGAAGAGAAAATAATCACATAATCAAGATGATGACATTCCCCCACTATTTCAAACAAAAGGTTAGGAAAGGAAACCACCATCAATACTGGAAAGAGCTATAACAACTACTGGACTTAAGAAACCTATTTTCCTAAAAGTTTGTTTTAAATGAAAGATTTTATAATTTTCAATCGACAGTGGTAATGGCTGCTCATTCAATGAATGCTGAATGTTTCCTTATATAAGGAAACGGTTAATATTACCATTGTCATTTGAGTGCCCCTAATATTTAAGTGAACAGGAAAAATTAATCTGATTTGAAAATTGGAAGACTGAGCAGTAAATGTAAAGCCAAAATAAAAATAAACATTGTTTTAAAAATGTGAAATTATTTTTCTGATCTTAAATATATTTCTTTATATATATATATATATATATATATATATATATATATATATATATATATATATCTTTTTCAGCTTCTTTTTTTTTTCCATCCCTAAAATTCTTTACTTCTCTTACGTTTCTTTTTCTTTCAGTGTCTTCAATTTTCTTCCTGCTTCTGGTTATCCAATCCATTTTCTGGGTTTTTTTCTTCATCTTTCTCTTTAATCCTTCTTATAGTTTTCTTCTTCTTCTTCTTCTTCTTCTTCTTCTTCTTCTTCTTCTTCTTCTTCTTCTTCTTTAATCCTTTTCCTTCTTTCTCTCTTTCTAATCCTTCATTTTTTTGTCTTTCTCTCTAATCATTTTATTGTTTCTTTTTCTTCTCCTTTTTCTTCTTTTTCTTCTCTAATCATCCTCCTTTCTATCTTTCTAATCCTTCATTTTATTCGTCTTTCACTGCAATCACTTTATTGTTTCTTGTTGTTGTTGATGTTGTTGTTGTTGTTGTTGTTCTTCTTCTTCTTCTTCTTCTTCTTCTCTCCCTTCAATACTTCATTTTCTTTGTCTTTCTCTCTAATCCTCCTCCTCCTCCTTCTTCTTCTTCTTCTTCTTCTTCTTCTTCTTCTTCTTCTCGCACATATACAGAAGCCGCGTACAAGCATAATATCAATATCATATAATTTTATTTATTATCATCGAAACAAATTAAATTCCGCAAAGCCATTTTAATTCCGTAATGCTAAATTGTAGAAATTCAATCCATGATAACCGTACAATATTTTATTGGTCATATACCTATTAGGAAATTTATATTGACGGTTTGCTGACAAGTTCTCAGGCCGACCAAGAAGAAAATAAATGCTGATACACGGTCATTTAGTCAGAGAATACATTCTACTAATGCCCATTTTTCTCTAACTGACCATAATACTAAACGTAATTGCTATTCAAAATAGCCACACTGCAGTTAAGCACATTAAGCCGGTCGTTTCTCCGATCTATTTAACAGGAAAAGATTGAAATTCTACACTGTTAAAGACACCACCCCCGAATCATTTGAGAATTTTCAAATATTTTTAAGACTTGAAATCCATAAATAATCAAAGGCAGCAAATAGGGTGCATAGTCTAGGCGCACAAAGCCCAAATGCACCCAAAAATATCCTTCGCATTGCCAGTCCTGTGAGAGAGCGCATTGTTTTTTAAAAAGAGTGTAGTATCCGCATCTTTCCTCGCCATCTTTTTTTTTCTTTTGAAGCGACATTTAATCAACATGGCAAAGTTCTAAAGTGTGTTTCATTAAGATGGATCAAAGTCAGCAGTAAATAAATCAGTGTTATTGGCGATAATATTTATTTCTCTATTGGATCATGTTATTTAAGTCATGTGTGAAAAATAATATCGCCCAAATATCTGCCTAGACTTTGATGGCGCACTTCCACTCTATGGTAAAAATTTTTGATGACGTGTCTGCATAGTTTCTCCGCGATCTCACCAATATGCCTTACTATCTCATCCTTCAGCTATTGAATTGTCGTTGGCTTGTTGACATAGATCTTAATTTTGAGATGACCCCAATGGAAGAAATCTAAAGGTTTCAAGTCGCACAATCGTGGTGGCCAATTGACTTCGCTGTTTCGAGAAATGATGCTACATGGGAACTTCTCATTGCATTTCTGTTTGAACGTCCATTTTCGTAATAGGCTTCGATAACTTTAACGCGTTGTTTAATTGTTAATCTTTCCATGGTTGAAATTGCCAAAGATCTGAAAGAAAAAAATCATTAAACTCCTAAACTTAATTCACATTTAAAATCGGTCCAAGTTATTGGAACAACCTTTATAAAATTAGAAAGGCGTATAAGATAAGGATGCGTATTTCTTACTAAATATACTTAAGACTCATTACGTATATATATATATATATATATATATATATATATATATATATTACAAAGGGTGTTTCATTTAGACGGATCAAAGTCAGCAGTAAATAAATCAGTGTTATTGGTGAACATTTATTTATTTCTCTATTGGATCATGTTATTTAAGTCATGGCAATTATGTGTGAAAAATAATATCGCCCAAATGTCCGCCAAATCGGAAAGAAAAAGAAAAAATCATTAGACGCTTAAACTTAAATGACATTGTTGTAAGGTTGACATTCGTCCCATCAACGTGTGGAGAATAAAATGAAGACAATGCGCAAGTTTCAAAAAGGGAGACGTTAATTAATTAATGTCGTTTAGAACTTAAATAATGAAAACTTCTATTAAGCTTCTTTGGCACTGAAAGTGTTAATTTAGAGAAATTAGAAAACATGTCATATATATATGTATGTGTGTGTGTGTGTGTGTGTGTCTGTGTGTGTATTCTTTTTTATATTAATTTCTGTTTACAATACCGATAAAGGTCACTAAGTAACTAAGGTCGGCTCTCTATTAACTATAGCTAGTTAATAGAGAGCCGACCTTAGTTACAGTCTCTGGAAAAGAACGCATCATCTGAAGTAATTAACAGTTTTCCAAAGACAGTACTCTCAAAGACTCGGTCACGATAACTTGTAACTTCGTGCTAACGCAACTGAACAGTTCTGTGTTTACCAATTTAATTCCCAACTTGGTGGGCTAATCCGTGGTACGGTTTACGGGCACTTTCCAAAGGTGCCGTGCTTTGGGATTTCGAGAAACCGACCATTTTGAGATTTGAAACCGGGTTTTACGGTCGCAAATCAAACGTTCTAACCCCTTGGGCACACGCTATGCATTATTAGAACATTCGTTCATTATCGACAAATACGCTTGACAAATAAATTAATTTATGATTCTTATTATCTGATTGACATTATTTTTTCTAAAATTTTGTGAAATGATAAAATTATATTGTGACAAAATTATATTGTGAAAGGGATATATTTGATCGAAGTAGCTAAGTGGTTTTGGTTACTGTAACCAAGTAGTACACAGTAGCAGTAATCGACTGGTACTCGTCGTAGTCGCAGGTAATAGGTGTAGACCAACAGGATAGCCAATGGCGTAGTCCAATGGGCGTCGTCATAGATTTAAACTCTGTCGTACCTACACGTCCGTCTGTATTTATGACGGACACCAGCCAATCATATTCCAGTGAAGCGGAACTCAGGTGTATGCATAGTTCATTACATTGATACTAGAGAGTCTGTGATCGAAAACAGATAAACAAAAATACGACAAGAATTCTGCAAATTGCCATATTACGAACTAAAATAATTAGTACTTTGAAATAGAAACCTCTTTCCATTGAGAGTGATGAATTAATACTAAGATCTTGGGAAGTGGATCGAGCCTAGTACTTTTCAGCAAACTTTTGTATAACAAATAGTATTATTTACCCCGTCTCCTCATTGAGACGTGATGTGACACAAAGTCGAGTTTAATGCGGGGCACCCGAGCCCTTACACCCGGGCCAGGGTCAAACATTGCCCAGCCCACACTACCGTCGGTTGCGCTGGCAACGATATAACTACCGATCCCTACACTCTAGTGCAGTGAGGTGGGTACAGCTGCGGGCATCTGTTCCCCTGAACCGGGCACCTCTCAGTATGTTCCCCAGCTGCGTCTCTGTCCGCCGATAGAGACAAAATTGAGTTGCACTCTGCCCGAAGACAGAGACGCAACTGAGAGATAATTACACTATCCAACCTGTACCAAGTTAGCTGGTAAAAATAATAGTTAATTTAATTTTATGTAAAAATAAAAAAAAAAATTAAAAATGATGTTAATACACGCGAATAACACCAGACAGTGTTATTATCGCCAGAAAAAAAAAGTGCTTAAATTGCCGAAGGTTAGAATAGCAAAAATCACAAAATTAATCCTGTTTCTAAAGTCCACTTTCAAACATTTTTGTGCAGACCATTTTAATCCGTGAAAGCTTTCCAAAAGTCTCTAATGGAATTGAGCGTAAATAAGTGGTTATCGACACGCAAAGTGAAATCAGCAAGCCGGGATCAAGATTCGCCCGAGTCTGCTGTGTTCACTTTCATACAAATGACCTTGGGAAAACTATGAACCAATCTCTTCTCTTTCCCTCAGTTATGAATTAAATAGGAAAATTTGGATCTATAGCTCTGGATAGCAAACAGTCTGAGAAGCGCAACTCTGAATGAAAAACCGTGAAGAGGCAACGGGAAGCCACTCAAATGTCTCTCACAAGAGGCCATGTCAATTCAGTGATAATAAGGAAAAAGTGATTTGTAGAGAACAACGGTCGCCTATTTTCTGAAGTATGATGGCATTGTAGTGATCACTTACATGTGCCACATCTCTGCTTTCTTTAATGTCATTGGTTCTTAAATATATGATACTTATTATATGACAATTTTGCCATCGCACATCATTTGAATTTTTCTCTAAAATCACGGATTGGTCCATTTCCTGACCAATCGCGTATTTTAGCATCTTTCTATATTTTTGGCGCCAAGCTCACTGAAGCCTATGCATAACTATATAAATTCTCTCGCTGTTAGCCAACAGCAGTAGCAGTTCAATTCTTGGAAATTACGGCACGGCGCTATATTCCTTATGACATTTTAATTCTTAGTTATTACTCATTCGAGTAATCTTACTAATTTCTATTGATATCACTTGTGTACATTACATCTTTCCACACTCACAAACAGACTGTGAAATTATTCTTCATTTAGCTAAGATCTCAATTGAACTTTGTAGTTAAATAACATTCAATATTGTACTCAACATTAATTAGCTAAACTTACCCTTTTTATTACGGAAGAAGGGAAGCAACTTTCTTTATACTTAATGTTGATATTTGTATATCATTGTTAATACAATATTTTATTAATGTTCACTGAGCTTGATTATTTTTCTCTCGTGTTTGTTGTGCATTATTCATGTGGGGTGTTGTTTTACAAGAACACAGCTTTCCTTCTTGATTATATTCACGGTGACCCTAGCCAACAATTCTTACAGCACCACTACAACATGTAAAAAAAAATATCTAATGTTTCTTTAGTGGCAGCTAACCAACAAATCCCCCTTTATATAACCATCACAGTTATAGGTATTATAATAGCTATTTATTAATCCCAAGCCTGGTCGTTAGTAAAAGGTGCAGCTCAAGCTGTGAGCTATATATTAGAGACGTCAGAATAGAACAAGTACAAAAATTTAATTATCTGAGTAGAGTAATAAAAGAATAATTACGGGAAATGTGGTACTAAAATCTGAAGGCTCATTCAAATAATGAAAGATGCCTTCTGAAAACAAAGCCAAGTATTAAGAGATAGAATAACTTATTTCAATACAAACAAGAGAGTGTTGAATTGCAATGTCATATCTAAAAACCTATACAGTAGTGAATGCTGGACAATTTCCTCACAGACGAAGAAGTGGCTTGAAGCGACGTGAGAATACCATAGACAGAACATGTGATCGATGAGAAAGTTTTAAAGAAAATGATAATGAAACGGACACTAATACTTAAAATAATAGCGAAAAGCGTGAAATTCATTTGACACATAATGGAGAAAGAACACCTAGATAATTTAACAAAAGGGGAGAAGGGAATTAAAACGACAGATACGTTGTTCTATGATTCTATTAAAAAAATGCGAAAAAATACTCTTGATATTTATATCACCTTCATCTTTAGGAAATAGTATCTTTCCATGCTTCCATGCAGATATGATCACACCTAACGGTTGACCAAAGCACAGGCGAAATTGCAGAAC